AATTACTTCTCAAAATAAGTAACCTGGCCTCTTCAATGAACATGATCAATAAACACTTTAATTAGAAACAGACTTTCTATAGAATAATAAAGTGAGTGGACTTTTTAAAAAAGAGTATCATTTGATAAAGTGGTGTTACTTTATCAAAACAACTTGATTATTTTGATCAATCTAATAACTGAGATATGTTAGTTTGAACATAAATGATGCTCTGTTAGTCTAAGACAAAATCTGTATTTATATTTATTGTTAAGGGAAATGAAATAAAATGGTATAGAATCTAAATTAAGTGCCAATAGGATGGCTTAAGACATCTTAATTATACTTATTAATGCTTTTTTAGCATCCTAGTCATCAAATGAATTTATAAGCATATTTAGAAAAGTAGTCTTTTATTACAGTGAGAAAAATACCTATGTGAGAAATATGTAGCATATCTAAAATAGAAAAATAAAATTAATATTGCATCTAATTTCATGATTTTAACATACTAGCAAAATTTTATATTAATATTTTGTTAATAATTTAAAAGGCACTCTCTCATGTTATCTCCCTCAATCCTCACAAATAGATTTTGAGGTAAATACGTTGCCCATTTTATTGAAGAAATTCAAACAAGTAAAGTGACTTTATCAAGGTCACAGAACTTTCCATCCAACACAGGTCTTCTGGCTTTAATTGCAATGCTTTTCCAGTTTCCTTTTATGTTTTCTGCCAGGCTAAAGAGCCTTAGCAGTGCCTTAGTGTTAAGGTACCAGTTTAGTTTGTGCTCTCTCTAAAGATATTTATATTAAAAATAGTATTCTTTGTGTTATACTTTACTATTTTAATGTCATTGAGCATTTTTTAATATCCTTCTTATAAAGTATATTAGCTATTTCTCACAATGGCCCAATGTGCTCGACCAAAATGGTCTTCACACATTTATGGCTAAGGAAGTATCAGCATGGAAATAAGAAGCATTTCGTGGAAATGTCATTGGAAACTGTAGCATTTGAGTTCTAACAAGATCATTTTGGTACCTAGGCCACTATTTTAGTGACAAAATTTGATTCAAAATTCGAAAGCCAATATATGTCCCATTTGTTTATTTTTGATCAACAAAATGAACCATCAGTTTGAGGAAGAGTAAAGGCGGCCAGTTCTGAGCATTCATTGTCAAATTTTCACATTCCAGGCACCACTGTTTAGCCTGCTCAGCATTTCTGTAGTATCATCCATTCAGAAGCAACCCAAATGTTTAGATACTTGAACAAAAGTACTTTAAAAGTAGGCTTTGCTCTTGATTCATTGTTCATTTTAACTAAATTATTTTTTTCCGTCATTATAGCAATGCAAGGGGAAGAGAAGGACTACTTTTGTGTCAAAAATAGAACTAATTTTATTCATAACCTTTATCATTTCACTTATAGAATTTACATTGTTCATAATTTTCTGGCTTTTAATTAATAACATACAGCCATAAGATTTATACTTCACTTAATCTCATTTCAAACAGGTTGGAATATCATTTAAAATTTGCATTATATTTTCCCTAACTTTAAGCTTAAATTTTTCATTGCTAAATACACATATGCATATATACATATATGTATGAATATTTTTTAACCATTGTCATATTACTGGATTTATAGAATAATGATTTTCAATCTTCATAGAGTATTTTTAATATAAAAGAACAAATTATGAGGCATTGCTTTAAATATTATTCAAATAGTCATCCAAGGACATTTTTATGAAATTAGTTGTATACAAATTTGTGAAGGCAAAAAATTCTGACATAATTAAGGACAATCCATATAGTACTTTTAAGACAAACACTGATCACGACACTGAAAAGCAGTCCTATTTAATATACTCTGTCATCCTAGATACCATCTGTGCCCTTACTATACATATTCAGTTATAAATACATTATCATCTATGTCTTTGGGTGCATAGTAAAAACCAATATATGAGCAAATGCTTCATAAAGGTGCTACTCAAAGTGTGGTCGGTGGACCAATGCTTGTTTGTGAACTGGTTATTATGGTCCCTCAAGGAGATAAGCAATTTACACCAGAATGTAAAGTCGACTACTTCATCAAGCACATGTCTTATTTAAGCTGATTTTTTTTTTTTTTGAGAACAAATTTCTTATGAAAAATAAATCTATGTGTTTACCTACATTCAGGTCCAAACTCCTCTGTCCTTGAGCACCAGTTTGTGAACCAGCTACCCTGAATAGCACTGCA